TCTCAACATTCTCAATATCTCTTTCACTTTGTATTTCCTTTTAATATGAGACCTAAACAGTAAAAATAATAGTAAAAGAAATAGTTTATGAATTTTTTTATTTTTATTGAGTTGTTTTACATAATAAAATCTTCATTATTTACAATTATTTCACAAAAAATTGTTCCTTTACACTTTACATTAATTCATCAGTTTATCTGTCCATCCTTTTTTCCATTTATTTCTTTACTTTTCCTTCTTAACCTTTTCTGCATCTGTGCCCACAGATGTTGATAGGGGTTTTCACGTTCTGATGGAGTATAAGGTATTCTGCACATCCGCCTTAGTCCTGGGTGCATGAGAGCCAGGTTTTGTGCTAAACCGCAAGCACTCGATGTTACCCAGTACAGGATAACACACTGTGGAGAGAAAAAGGTGGTGAAGAAGACCACATCTAGCACATCAATTTCACATTCAGCCTTTCACAAGGCTAGATGTGAAATTGATACTTTGATAATTAACCCAAAAATGACAGGTAATCTTTTTTTTTTGTAAAGACTGGTAAGGATGAGTGTGCAATGGTACAAGTAGCTCCACAATTAGGTGATTGTCCAGCTTGCAAATGGGCTGCAAACCTCATGCCAACAATCGAAACATGATGAGTTATCACCTGGTGTCTGGTACTATTTACTATTCACCCATTACTAAGGGGTTACATTTTCTCTACAACTATTCTACATTTTCTCCTTTTATTTAACAAAATATTCACTTCCTCCATGATGTGTGCTATGAGTAATATCTGATGGTTTACCACTGGAATAATTAAATGACAAACTAGAATTTCCACTTGTAACAACAAGTCATACAATGTACAATGTCTTACCGAAGGCACAGTTGCTGCGATGGGTATGATGATGATGCTGACAGTGCGAAAGAGATTGGTTGCAAATTTCTGCAGTTTTGACCCCTCCTGGAGTCTGTTTAGCACATTAACCTATAACATCAGAGATTTTCTTATTAATATCACAGTACTAATCTATAATAGAAATATGAATCTAAATGATATTTGAAGTTGCCAATAATTCCTATGCTATAAGTGCATTCAATTTACATTGTCAAATCATAACAAAACTTTTGATTTCTGTAAAATGTATTTTAACCCTTTGACCATGGCAACAAAACCATTCCCCCTTTACAATCTAAGGTAGCAAAAATATTAAAGAAAATCTGAACACTATTGCTGATTTTCTTGTTTGGTAATGAAGGTAAGCATTCCATGTTTTACTACAAAAAAGTTGAAAAAGGCAATTTCATATAAAAAATGTGGCTATATTTATAAAGTATGCAATATATACTTTTTTGATGCTTAGCTTGTGGATACCTAATAACTAACTTATCATTTACAAGAATTAATTATCATAGTGTTCAAGAAAATGTGTTGTGTGTTAGCACATATCACATTCATCTTTGGTAAAACAAAGAATATAAGAATATAAGATACATATTTGGTTTTATTTCAATTTGATAAAATATTCTTTGTTTATTTCAGTAACAAAGAACTTCTCAAAACATAGCAGCACCTCCTGGACAGAAGAGGTTGAAGGGCATACTGACGGGCATATGGACTATAGTCAATTAATAGGCTACATCATGAAAATTATTTCTGAATTGCAACTAAAGTTGCCAAACATGGTCAAAGGGCTAAATGAACATAAATTCACTTCATCACATACTATAGATCTCATACAATACATAGCATCATGGAACTACTGTAAATAAGTAATGCTTTTACTAATGGGGAAACCTGGCTGCCATTACAGCTTTCCAACTTTGTGTGGGATATTATCAATGACTATGGTTATTAACCCATTGCCACCGGGGAAAATTAATAAAAAATGGGGAAAATGCTGTACTCATTTTTAAATTTTTTGTAAAATATCTCTGTACATAGATGGCTCTGCTAGTCCTGATTTCACCTTCCCTTGAATTGGCGGGAAAAAATGTATTCCTACTAGTGCTATAAATATAGATGGTGTTATTTTTAACAGCAAATTAGGATAACATTAAATATTTTCGTAAATCGATGAAAAGGGTGAATGGGCGTGCAGTCAGTACTCGTAACTGGCTCACTGGTGACTTAGTACAAGTGTAGCCATCTATGTGTAAAAATAATCAAACAAGTCGACTCACAGTCGGTATGGCATGTACGTACATGCCATCCCCGGCGGCAATGGGTTAATTATATTGTCCCTCATCACTGTGATTGAAAAAAGATTTATAAACATTATAAAAACATCTGAATATCTATTTTGAAAACTTGAAGTTCATTTCAATGACATGAAATAGAAGAAAGCAAATTATCAATATCATGAATAAAAGTTATCAATATCGGATACTCTTAGAAAAGATGATTAATTTTTCAAGTTTCACAAAATAGCATTCTAAACTGAAAGAGAGTTAATTCACTTACAAATGAAACCTTTATTACAGAAGATAGAATAAGGAATTAAGAAAAGGTAAAAAAAAAAAAAGAGGAAAGAAGATCATCCTACCAAGTCAAGTCATTCTTAACCAAATCAGCAAGAATACATGCCATACCCACTGTAATACAAGTTTATTTATTGTATTTACACATAGATGGCTCTACAAGTGCTTAATCACCAAGAAATCTGTTATTAGTCCTACCTATCTCAACTGTTTACCCTTTTCCTTGACTTTTGGAAAGGGTCTTTTGCATTATTTCATTGTCTTAAATATTACTGAGGTTTTAATAACACTTTAATAATCATAACATCAATAACAATAATAATAGTATTGATACCAACTGAATTACAAATAAAAATACATTTTCACACCAATTCAAGCAATGGGAAAATCAAGATCGATCACTAGGGCCTACTGATAGACTTCTTGCTGGCTGAGCACATGTGGAGCCATATGTATGTAACAAAATTCACAAAAAAACTACAGGGGACAGGACATAAACCCAGGGTGGTTGGGTTAAGAGAATTCAGTTTCAGTCTTGATACCACTGTTTACAAAACCTATCACTCAAGAACAAATTGATTTTTTTACAAATATTCTTAGACCCACCTCCAAAGGGTTTGCAATGGACACAATATGCGAGGAAAGTAGACTAGGCCTTTGTGTGACAGAGAATGAAGAATTCCACAGAACAAGATATGTAAGAGACATATTACATTATGCTGATGAAATATTAATTTTAAAACATCATTTACATGTTTGGCATTGATGAATCATTTTCATTCTCATTCACATTTTTCTAAATATACTACATCAAATGCAATCACTAACAGCAGCTCATACTATGTAACTCCCTAATAATAATAATAATAATAATAATGATAATAATAATAATAAAAAAAAAAAAAAATAAAAAAAAAAAATAAAAAAAAAAATATATATATATATATATATATATATATATATATATATATATATATATATATATATATATATATATGCATAAATAAATGTAGGTCACAAATGCTGCTGCAATACAACAGAATTCAAACTGTAAAAACTTTATAGAATGAGCCTATCATGAGCATTCTCATAAGGATTGAATTTCAGTTGTTTGACAGTAAGTGTAAATAAAGCTTCCTAATCCTTGGGATCTCAATCTGTTCCAGCAGGAACCCCTTGTGGATAACTATATTCTTTATAGATCATAAAACATGGTGCAACAAAAAAACTAGGGTTGATCATATAGAAAAAAAATACAACTCAGACTTATTGTGATTTCTAAGATATATTTCTGAACAAAGAGAATGGCTAAATAGTTAATGTTGTGGCTGGAGTGAAATAAGTGGCCCCATGGTTGGTCCCACTGATGACCTGCTGATTTCTTACCTCTAATAAATCTGAAGGCACATATAAGCTAACCAGTTCAGCTGAGGTAGTAAAGATATATTTTTCTTCTTTTATTTTTAATCATCAAACTGTCGCTTTTTATGTGAAAAGTATCAGTGCTTCTATTCAGATTCATGTGGCCCCACTAATGAATTACAGCCTAAACACACAAATAACATTTTATATTGAAAATCTCTTGATTTGTTTATTCAAAGAAATACCTAGCACAAAGACCAAATGAAGTCTATATTCTGATCCAAGAGAATAAACAATTAAAACTGCTCTACTGCATCCCAAATATGCCAAAAGCAGTTACCTCACCTCCGTGATGGCAAGGTTGAGGAGCCCCATGGCCACGGGTAAGACGAGTGAGTGATCAACCTCCGTTAGGTTTGGAATCCAGCCGAAACCTCCTGTGCTCATCTCAAGGAAGAGGACCTGGGCAGCTGAGGGAGAGAAAAATAAAAACGTTTTTCTACTCCGCTTATTTCCTCACTCTTTGTTTTTGCATTTTATTTCTCTTCTTTGCTTCCTAGCTAATTTTCTAGATAAATTTTCAGTTGATTTTCTCTTTAGATATGTTTAACTAGTTTGTGCTGAGTAATTCCATTTGTCCACTGAGGTTTTGTTTTGTGATTTTTTTTTACACACAGATGGCTCTACAAGCACTTGGGCACCAAGGAGTCAATTAGCAGGCCTAGCTGACCTCACCTGATATCCCCCATTCCTTGAATTTTCTTTTTTATATGCTCCTAATATCATTATTGTTAATATGTTATTATCATTATCATTATTATCTTTCTCCCTATCTTCATCATTATTGTAATTATCATTATTATTATTGCTATTATCACCATTATCATCATCACTGACACTGGGAATATTATAATATACTAGTGGGTTAAACCCAGCTCCCATTACTCAAACTCAGCCCTTGTTCCCAAGCCACTTCAAGTTGTCTGGCCTACTGTCTTGGCTATAATACAGTCATACTCCCTGGGTTTGGTACATCTGGGATGGCTTCAAAATGTTTTTATGGTATATAACTGCACAGAAACACTTCACAAATTTCTAAGACTATAAACGACTTCACAACCTGGAGCCGGGCGAAGAACATTCTAGTTCTCCTAATTCCCCAGATAACAGAC